TTCTCATTGTACAAATCTACCACCAAGGAGTTGCCACTCAACTCTGGGGATGTGAGGAGACGGACACTCGTGGAGTGATGCTAGAGTTCATTGTAAGGAATAACCTCGTGGTACTAAATAAAGGCCACAATTCGACTTTTATGACGAGCAGGGCAAAATCTATTATAGATATCACGCTATGCTCTCATGAACTAGTCCACATGATAGACGATTGGCTTGTGGACCAGTAGGATCATTTCTCGGACCACAAGCAAATTTAGTTTAAGTTTAGCCTTACTCAAGTACTGATGGACAAACACTGGTGCTTCAAGAAGGCCAGGTGGGATGTCTTCAGAGACAAATTCGAGGCCAGTTCAGAGGATTGGGTTGTCCCAAGATATTGGACTGCCGACACCATCGAATATCAGTGCAAATCTTTCTATAAGGATTTGGAAATGGCCTTATCAGCCTCGTGTCCTCGTATCACACCTAGTCTTGGCGGTCCACCTAGACCTCCAAAGTGGTTGACCACTGAGCTTGCTGCCCAAAGGACCCAGGTCCGAGTGGCATACAAGCAAGCCCGGGAAACCATGGAGGACTTATGGACTGCCTACAGAGACCTTAGAAGGGTGTATAAGAGAAGCATTGCTAATGCTAAGAAAGCCCAGTGGACTAAGTTCACTAGTGATGTGTCAAACCTTGAAGGTATGGCAAAACTGGCCCGATCCCTGCTGAAGGACAAAGATGCCTGCATGGGATTGATGTCAAGTGGACAGCAGAAGACATCCCCTGATGAGGCTGTTGGTCTGCTGTTTGATATATTCTTTCCTGGGTGTAAGAATAGCCAACCGGATCCCATTCCCATAAAGCCACTGGCTCAAGACAGTGAGCTGGACACTGAAGTTATTTCAGAGCACAAGGTAAAACAAACCCTGGACTCTTTTGGACCACTGAAGGCTGCCGGACCTGATGGTCTGAAACCCATTGCACTGCAAGCAATGGGACCAAAATCCAGGTGCCGCCTTACTTACCTGTACAGGGCATCCCTCACACTAGGTTACATCCCAAAGGTGTGGAGGAAGGCCAGAGTTGTCTTTATTCCCAAAGTGGGGAAGAAGCATTACACTCAGGTGAAGTCATTTCGACCGATCTCTTTGACATGCTTCTTTCTTAAGGGAATGGAGCGAATTGTTTTGTGGTACCTTGAGGAACACTGTCTTTCCAATAGGGATTATCACAAAAATCAACATGCTTTCAGGAGCAATCACAGCTCTGAATCAGCGTTATCTCAGTTTGCAAACCATGTGGAAAAGCCAATTCTGAGGAAGCACTACTCACTGGGTGTCTTTTTTGACATAGTGGGTGCTTTTAACTATTTTCTTCCAGACAAAGTCAAAGACTGTATGGAAGAACGTTGTTTCCCAGAGAATATCATTGCCTGGCATGATTTTCTCATGAAATACCGAAGCGCTTCAGCAACGGTTAGG